CCCCTTGTGCTATTTATAGAGTGGGGTACTAAGTTCCAAACCTCTAAGCAGTAATTGACATAATTTAACTTTTAGATCGCGACATCAGTATGGAACTTTGTAGAGATGAGCAGTTTGATACGCTGAAAAGGATAGGATGCGAATAGACGCCGAAAAATTTCCCTTGTGCTATTTATAGAGTGGGGTACTAGGTTCCAAACCTCTAAGCAGTAATTGACATAATTTAGCCATTAGATCGCGATACCAGCATGGAATTTGGTAGTAAAAGACAGTTTGATACGCCGAAAAAGATAGGATATGAATTGACCCTGAAAAATCCCCCTTATGCTATTTATAGACTGGGATACCAGGTCCTAGACCTCTAAGCAGTAATTGACATAATTTAGCCATTAGATCGCGATACCAGCTTGGAACTTGGTAGTAAAAGGCAGTTTGATACGCCAAAAAAGATAGGAAGCGAATAGACGCTGAAAAATACCACTTATGCTATTTATAGACTGGGGTACCAGGTCCCAGACCTCTAAGGAGTGATTGTCATAATTTAACTTTTAGATCGCGACATCAGTATGGAACTTTGTAGAGATGAGCAATTTGATACGCTGAAAAGGATAGGATGCGAATAGACGCCGAAAAATTTCCCTTGTGCTATTTATAGACTGGGATACTAGATTCCAAACCTCTTAGCAGTAATTGTCACAATTTAACCATTAGATTGTGATACCAGCATGAAACTTGATAGAGATAGGCAGTTTGATACGCCAAAAAGATGGGGTATGAATAGAAGCTTAAAAATATTCCACCGTGCTACTTATGGACTTTTAATCAATTCCATTTAAAATGAACTTCTTTACTTTTTGAGGTCCCCTGACCACGAGGTTCTGGGGCAACTTATCCCATCTTGACGGCCCTGGCAATAACTGATGCTTTGACAGTGGCAACGCAAGTTGGAAAGTGGGAAAAGCGCCGAGAAATGTACAATTTGTGTGGTTCTAAAATAGATCAACTTTTTCCCTTGATCAGTTTGCTCACTTTTATTCATAATTTGTAAAGCTGTTTGTAAGAGCATTCTTATTCGACACGCTCAATAATTCACAAAAGGTAAATGATCGGCATGAAGTCTTGGTAAAAACTGCACGCAAAAAGTTTGCTTATTTTGTATGGGCTCGAACTTTTTGCAAGAAAATACCTTGCACATGTCTTGTAGTTAGATTGCTAGTGATATTTAAAGCACAAGTATCGCACTATTTCCATCCACTTCACGTTTATTTTGGTTTTTTATCGCACTCGAAATACAGTCTTCAGTACTGAAGCCCGCATCACTTCCGCGACTTATAAACGTTAATGCGTCACACATTTCTGAAATTCCTCACAGGCCGCGCACAAATTTTCGCACAAAAAGTCTTGAAAATCGCAACTTTGAAGCGTTGCAGCTTCAAAACACTTCACAATTCCGAAAAGGGAACTTCAGCATCGGATTCAGGAGCACCGACTTGACTTAGAACATCAATAAAAATTTTTTTGATTTTTTCAGTTCAGTGGCACTTTAAGGTGGCAGTCTACCTTGAAAGCAGCAATATGGAAAACTGGCCAAAACTTGATAATGGCTTGAGCTTGAAGCTTGAAACTTTCAGGTTATAAACAATGTAAGATTTAAAAAGCAAAAATAGATGTCTGGAAGGGTGTGGCAATGACGTTGCCATAGAAACATAAAAACAAAGGCCGAACTTCTGCAAATTGTGGAAATGATATCTCATGAATGCTAAAGGTTATGGTGAAAATTTTTTAGCAATAAGTTTCTACTTACATAATCTATGCAATGAACACACAGTTTTATGATACCAAGTCAGCTAGATATTTTATTGTGAAAAGTTGAGTTTTCTAAAATATTTTGTGAAATATTTCTTCTATCAAAAATCTATGTATTTATTGCATAGAGCATTAAAAGATACATATTATTTGAAAATTTCATCTTCATACCTTATACAGAGCCAAAGATATCTTAATCACAAGCTTAATAGATGTCCGTATTTGAGATTTGAGAAAAGTGCATTTTAAGTTTTGAGATGTACTGAATAACTGATTTTTCTTATCTTTTGCAACTTGACTGAATTTTGGTTGTGTATCACACATAATGTACCCATAGATACAACCAAAAATGTTAAAAGAAGTCAATGATAATGTTTAGAGGCATCATAAAGGTAACTGGGGGTTCAAACTGGTTGAAATATTCATGTTCATTACTCGACAGGTCCGTCGACTTTCTAGGTCTCTTTTTCTTTCCTTCCTTATTTCCTCTTTTCCTTTTTAGACTTGCATCAACTACCTTTTTAGAAATGTTTTCAGGCTCTGCAGAAAGACCAAAAGCCCTTGATAAATAGCTATTCCTAGCTACATCAAGTCTTCGCTTCTTTATTGCTTGTAATTTTTCTCTCCGATCTTTGTATTTCTGTGATGTTTTTAAGGTGGCAGCTTGTAATTTTTGTCTCCGATCTTTGTATTTCTGTGAAACCTTCCTTGCAGCATCTTTCAGCCTTCTATTGTCAACAGTTTTCAAATAATTTAAAGTTTGTTTGGCCACATTTAAGTTGTAATGCCTTCAAAACATCTGCAATTGATGATGGCCCAATATTGAAATTTCCAACAGAATGGCAAACAGTGATGGTAACTTTTCGTTTTCCACTAAATCACTGATCTCTAACCACTAAACCTGACAGGTTTTTGGACATCATGCCCATACCATACCATGCAAGGACTCATTCCAGTGGATGGTTTATCAGATTCAATCATTGTATGCTCTTCTCTTTCAATGATCTCTATAAGCCTAGCAGCTGCTTCATTCATAATGTTTTCACATACATTTACTGCCACTTCCTCAAGATGTTTTAACTGTTTGCTGTAAGGTGACTTTGAGACAGTATTTGGAAGACTCATAAGCCAAAAGATCTCTCTAACCCAGCACATTCAGTTTCTAGTAAAGCAACAACTGATCTACAGTTTATTTCATATGTGGTCTGTCCCCCTTTCTTGTCTGCCCTTTTAGATCCACTGAGCTTTTCACTGGTCTCAAGTGGTGAACTTGTATGACAATGGCTACATACAAGATAATATTTCTCTGCAAGGCCAAACTTATTGCTAAACTAGAGGCCAAACTAAGCAGCAGGCTTAACTGTGCCTTTGGATTCCTACATGTACGACAAACAGCAATTTTGTGATTGCATTCATCAAAAGTTTCTTATCTATAAGGCTGTAGCCATCGTCAGCACTGCCAATATTGCCAGCAGTAGCCTCCTTCGTTTCTTTTATCCGGAAATTGGTCTTTTTATGGGACTAAGGTTTTCTGAACCAAAGAAAGAGTTCATAAGTTTATAAAGTGAAGCACTGTGTTCCTCTAATTCTTTGCTTTGATCCGTTGTTGCTTGTGAAGACGAGGTAGGCAGTACATCTTCATCACCTTTTCGCTTTGGCCTAAGTAATCCAAATCCTTGTCATTGCTTCGAATACATAGTTTTTTCTACTTCCAGCAGATCTTTTTCTTTTCTTCGCTTTACCGACCTAAATTTTCGATTAAAAACTCTCTTTTCAGGGCGTTCATTGTCGGATAAGTTCGCTTCATAAACAGAAGGACTCTTCGAACAACTTTCGTCAGCCAGGCCAAACAGAAACTATGCTTCATTCGTTCCCTGTGCTTTTTAAAGTGGTTTAAATGCATTTTGGGATAGGGTAGAAGACCATAGATTACGTAATATAATTTTTTTCCAAAACGGGTCCCATGGGTGTCAACAGACCCCCTAGCAACCGATAGAAACTTGGTTGCTAAGGAAAGATGATCAACCCAGGGGATAAATAAATCAAATTTTCGCAAAAACTACAACAGTTACGGGAAAACTTCCTTCAAAATCAAATTTTGCAGTAATTTTCCTGATCATATACAAGGAAAAAGGAATTTTGACAAAATTTTCATAACTGACCATTTTCATGGTAGACTGCTACCTTAAGAGAACTAGTAATAGTTGACAATCAAAGAGCGGCGGAGATATCCGGCGGAGAACGAGCTTCTGATTACTTTCCCCCAGAAATTTTGGCGGAATGTTTTTAGCTTTAACAGTATTGGCGTGGCATTGGCGTGGCGCTGCATCAAATTTATAAATTAATGACTGAAATTGGCGTTGAACATCATTCAGATCAACGAAGATAATTTCACAACTTTCTCTTCGAGATGAAAATTAAATTCCAACCTCGCTTAAGGCAATTTGAATTGAACAATAAAATGGAACCTTAAATATTTTCGGCTAGTTTTTCTTGCCCCTTCGGTTTTGGCGGGTATTTTTGCCCTAGGAAAATGCTGGCGGAAATGTCCCGCGGAGAGAAAAAATGGAATGTACCCTGGATCCAAATAAAGTCAAAGCCAAACGATCGATCCATTATCCAGGACAAAATTGTTGTGAGACAAAATGCAATTTTTGCAATTGTCTACTTTATGTTGCCCCTGTAAATTCGAATCCCCCCTTTTTCCCCGAATCAATGTTAGATTTGTAGTTCTATCATTGCTTCTTCAAAATAATGCATTCAACATTGAATTTGGGGAGGGGGAGTTATTTTTCAAAGGAAAGAGAAAATATCTACTTTCATTGAAAAGTCTCAACTATTTTTGTCCGGGATTGCAGCATTTGACCATTTGGCTGGATGGCCTTACCCATTTCGAATTAATTTTGGATTAAGATAAATTATTTTTCAAAGTAGTTGAAAAGTGACGTTTAATAGTTTGCATATATAGATTAAATATATAAAGGAGTCTTTTCATTTGAGCGTGGGTACAGCTGATTGTTTAATTTGTCAAAATTGCAACTCGTAATTAATAAAGCGAAAGAGATCTTCAACTGTACTTGAAAAAGGGAAGAGCACGAGTTTTGTTTGTGTTTCAAAATCCCCATTTCTTCAGTATTTTATTAGATTTGAAGCTGCCTTTTTTTTCTAAGTAACGCACCAATCGACTTTGGGTTTCTTTTTGATAAATATTTAATAAAGCTTTAGATTGTTTGCCCAGGTTATCCAAACAAGGATCGTGTTGGGTTACGGCGCAAAAAGAAACGAGGAAAGCATAAAGCAATTAGTGGCAACCAAAAAACAGAACCAGGCGTAATTGAGGCAGCCGTGGCCCCTAGGGATTTTTTAGTTCGGGGCCCCCAAAGCTAATCAACAGCAGTTCCATTCATTTAGACCAATATATCACACAGACTTTAGGCCCGTTGAACTCGTTTATAATATCCAGTATACCAGCTTCAAAGTAAAATAACAAAGAAAATTTTTTGCTGGGGGCCCCTAAAGGTTGGGGGCTTATAGTTTTTTAACTAAATGTAACTTAAGTCCGTTACGCCACTGAATAAAACTTTCTCTCTACACATTGCTCACATTGTCAATATAGCAAAAGGAAATTGTTTGCCTTTGCTGCAAACACTATTTCATTTCCTTTTAAATTACTTTCAAAGAAAGAATCATAAAACAAATTGTCCTTTCATACGATTACAATAGGGAAGTTGAGTGACGTTAGTAAAGTAGATAAGTAGTTAAGTAGGAAGGAATTGGCCATTTAGGAATATCGGAACGAAGCTGGGAGTGGTCAGGCGGATACTGGACCTAGAAGGAAGGAGGGGAAATTATCCCTGTATCCGTTTGCTGTTCTATGCGAATTGTGTGTTGCAATGTTGCCAGCACATGGGCTCCGACAAAGGTTGAAAAGTAGGGGGGCCAAGGGAAAATTTAACACCCATAACAAAAGATTTTGAAAAAGACTCTTCGTCGGAGGCCCTGCAGCAAGCAGCAAGATTATCTATCAAACAAAGATATGAAATCTACGGCTTGACAGCGCTAACACTTAAATGATGGTGCACTCTGTTCGTGCATTCAGATAAACCTCCAAATGGTCTGTATAATAAAGAGTGTTTTGGAGAAAGGATTAAAATTCTTCATGTAACAAATGAAAAAATGAACTATAAGAGAGAGAAGAATAACACAGTAGCATATCCTTGATAATCACCTTGTTTGTAAAAAGAAGTTGTAAGAAATGCATGCCAGGCGGCTACAAGCTGGAGGGTATTAAAAAACACAACAATAGTGCATTGGCTTTCAACAATATGATGACATTGCATCATCTTTGGTAGAGTAAATGTGAAAACACCTTGTGACACCATTCAATGGAAACATGGTCTTATTTTGCCACAGCCAATGATACCATACTAAGGTAACATCAAGGAATTGAGCTTCAGAAATCTCTAATGGTTTTAGACTAAACAAATTAGAAAGCTTAAACTTTCTTTCTTCAACAAAACCTTCTTTAGACACCATGGAGATCCTTTAGTCTATTTTTTCCAACTCTTTGTTTAATGTCAATCTTGAGATTTGCCAGTTTCACAATTGGTAATTATTTAAGACCATTAAATGATAGCTTTTTTTTCTTCAAAGCTCCACTGCAAAAGTATGTTGAAAATGTGACAGAAATAAGAATGCTTTCTGGCATACATGCCTAAGTTGATCTGATGCCATTTCCTTAACTGATAAAGCTATCCATTGCTGTTGAGAAAGGGCAGTGCAACGGTTCCTTCCAGCATAAGAAACATTCTGCCATCGGTCAACATCTTTTAGAAAACCCAGATTGTGCAAAACTCTATAATGACAACATGTTTTGGATGTTTCTTATTCTGACGTTTTATGCTCTGAGGAGTGTCAGACGAAAAAGCTTTTAGTATGTCGTGAAATGTTTGCTTTTTTCAAAGCCATTTTCAAATTCTGTACCGCAAAAAAATTGTTCACATTTTTTAGAAGTGGTGCATGAGGCAGTGACTTTTCAGGAGTTTCCTGTTCGATTTGTTTTTTTCCTTCATATCACAAGGTGTTCAAGGTTAACTTTTGGAGCTTTACTGATTTCTGCCACTGAAACCGATAAGATGTTTAAAGCTCTAAGAAATATAAAGAAAATTTGCAAAGTCTTACCATCCATGGTTATCAGAGCCTTTGGCCCTACCATCAGTGTAATACAATTCTCCAACAACTAGAACACCACTTTTACTATCATTCTTGTCTTGTAAAAATCTTACTTCTCCAGAAACAAGCCCATTGAGCCTGGCTGTTGCATAGATGACCTCTTTGTCAAATGGGAGGATAGGAGCACAACCAATCACAATTGAAGTGACTCTGTTCCTTACCACTACTGTACGACCTAAAAAAGAAGCACAAACTTAAATTCAAACTCAAACTTTATAGCAATATAGTTACTTACAATGGCTAGTACTTGAACAAATTTTCAGCATAATGCAGATTTTAATAATGAATAATTAGCATGATTTCAATAAATTATTATAAAATGTTGAGGGACAGGCAAAAAGAACTCTAAAAGAGCTATCAAAGCCAGCTTTCCTAATTATTTGCTATCCAAAAAAATAAAGTCCTTACTGAGCTACAGTTGCTTCAAAACCTGAGTTCATTTATCACACATCAAAATAATCAATCCTCTGTAAAAAACTAATCTGAAGGTTTCTAAAACATTGTCACAAAAAGTTGCTTTACCAAAAATAAAAATTTGATACATTTGGATAGAAAAAAGGATATAATAGAAAAGCAAATTGTTTGCACTGCATACCAAGAATACTGTCTCTTCCATATGCCTTCAATTGAGTATTAGTAACAGCCATCTTGTACGTGAATGGTCCATGCTTTTCAGTCAAGTTACCATTAGAAATCAAAGCTCCAACTTGAGCTGAGCTGCAACTGTCATGGGCATTGCCATTGTACACCATTGGGTATGAGTAGATGCCAAGACCCAATTCTCCAGAAAATGGATCCATTTGCACTTTGATATCAAGAGGCTGATTTTGCTCTTTTTGTAGAAACATTATTGCACCCCGTAGCCCTCCCATACTGAACCTGGCTTGTAAAATGTACTTTGGAATTGATGTCCCATTTTGTGAAGACACCAGCTCTGAAAAGAAAAAAAACTTCATGATCATGTTACATTCACAAGAAATCCTAGTTGAAATTGTAGAAAAATCCCCAGTACTCAAAAAGGTGTGTCTTTTCAATTTTTCAACTTCAATAACAGGGATGTAATGGTGGAGGAGGGGCTCAGGGGGTGCAGCCCCCCTTGTTAAAATTTTTCAAAAAAAGTAGGGAGCTCAGCCTCCCTCATTGCTTTTGCTTGGATACAGCCAAGAATCATATAATGCAAAGAAAGCTGTGAAGAAGTAAAAAATTGTTACTCTACCAATGGTCAGCCATTGAAAACTAAACCAGAAAAGGAAAAGAGAAACAACTGAAAGATTTAAAGGCATTGCAAGCTTTATATGCATGAAAATGCACACAAAGTTTGCCATATACAGATAGAAAATTCTTGAACGATTTCTTACTGAGTACGTTTAGTTGCAGTTTTGTATAGACAGTTGGTTTTCAAAAAATGCCTGAATCAACAAACGGTGCTATTATTTGACTCTGTCTTGTCTAGTTTTAATATTTCATGCACTACACTGGATGCTCTTATTTTTTGGATAATTTTAGGCTCGGGTGTTCTTAAAGCTGTAATTATTTCAAAATTGATGTTCTTTACCTGCGAGCTATCAATACTTTCCAAGACCAGTGAACAACAGTTCTGCATGACATTTTTTGTAGCACTGCTCGTTAGCTGATAAAATCCCATTCAATTCAAAATCCAACCAATGGATGGGTCATTATTATTAAAAAGAAAGTTCTTCCTTATCGATGCCATAAAAATTTTAGATGCGTTTCTCGCCATTCTTGGAATGCCATATCTCAAAATTTTCCTCGCCGCCAACCATAATGGCGGCTTTTACTGAACCCCCGAGCAATATAAACAATTTGCCTCCTCACTTGCAATAAAGTCCCCCTCCCCCCTGCACTCTTCCCCATAGATTTCATGCTTTCATCTCAGCTGACGCTCAACACAGCCAATGTACCTGGCTGCTCAAACAATGTTTGGAAAAACATCAACCCTCACCATGGTCAAATTGCACTGATTACATGACAAAAACAATTTAGAAATTTCATAGAGCCCCCCTTGTTAAAATTTTACGACTACATTCCTTTTTAATAACTCTATTTTTCTGGCACTGCGAAAGTAATTGTGAGTTCCTATTCTATTTCACGTTTAGGATTATCGGGTTGCTCTGGTTTCTTACTGCCCTCCCTCCTCCCCCGGACATTTGAAATTTGTGATGCGTTATTTCTTGCGGATGCAGCCGCTCTATGGCAACTAAAATCAGAGTGAGCAACTAAGATCACATTATTCAATAATTTATTTGAAATTGACTGAAAAACCCGACTTGAGAATGTGTTCAAAACAAATAAAAAATCATGCAATTGTACTTTAACCGATTTGATCCTAACTATTGAATAAAAAACAGCTTACCAGCAAAGCAAATGAGAACCACCAAAAGAATCTGTCTCATGTCAATTTTTTGTCGTTCCTGTGAAACTCTTCCGGGTTACAACCTTCTCTGTTGACTTGGAGTTTGGCACTGAGATCCGATGTCTGAGCCAAATTAACTAATTTTCTAAGAAACAAGAAACCTAAAGTTTAGGAATACTCGAATTTCTCTAGAGATAAGCTTTATTTTTCTTTACAAACTTAACTATACTTGCTGGTAGTTTTAGAACGAAGCAATGATCCTTCGAACATCCACCAGCACAGCAGCAGATCTGAAAGACCGCATGGGAAGACGGGGAACCCTGTGCCGCTACCACAGGGAGATCCAGTAAATTCTTTGTGATCATTTGTGGAACTTTGTTTTGTCAATAGCAAGCAAACAAAAAGATTTACACCAACCAAACATTTTATAATAACGATTGTATCTCTTTGTTGAGCTTTTTATTCCACAGGAATAGTTTAGTGAAGTATGCTTGTGTTAAGTAAACAACACACTCTATTCCTTCTATATGAACTGACTTTTTGAAACAAAGGCCTGATATACAATGAAATACTTGAAACAACGTAAGAACATGCCCAGTCTTAAGTAAAGAATTAGAAGAAACAAACAATGTGTTTTTGAAACTTTATCAGTAAATGAACACAGGGTCGTTAAAATCCCAAGAAAAGCGGTTATTTAATGGTCTTAGAAACAATTCATAGAGAGTTACCCGAGCATCAAATTATCCAAAACATAGAACATCGAGCCTCGATAAAAATTATAAAAGATTAATCAGACCTTTTATACTGACCTTTTCAAATTTTATTGACCATCGCGAAAGTGCTTGAAAGACTATGAAAAGTGACATCTTTGGTGGCGCTTTGGCTTTAACAACATTTCTTATAAAGAACCATTTATCATGCCAGATTTGCGACTCTGCTGACACGTCCTGATGCCTTTGGCACAAGTCACAGCCTAAACAAGTCACGCAATAAATACCTGAATGTTGTTTATTTCAATATATCCCACCCAAAGTGCTGTTTATAAAGTGGGAGCAGGGAAAACCGCCCCCACAGAATTGAATCAGTATTTTTGTCGGAAAATTTATCAAAAAATTGAGGTCCAACTCCTCTGTTTCCTTCCTTTACACGGTTTTCTTGTCGGAATTAAACAGAAGTTGTCTCCCTTGCACGAAAACACCAATAAATACCCAAACAGCCAACAAAATTTGGTATTGAACCGCATACGTATCAACTTGCCTATTTCATATAATAACAAGTGTCGACAGTAATCACGGTGCAGTTACCCTGCAACTCGGCAATCGGTACCTCAAACTCAAGCAAACCATTATTTTGAATAAAATTCATCCCTGGCTTTCAGAAATGTTTGTAGGGTTTTACTAATGTTTATTGAGCAGGGGCGGATCCAGAGCAAATTTGAAGGAGGGGCAGTTGGTAGTGGGGGCGCTGAAAATTTTTTCAAAAATTGATGAAAGGAGTACGCTGTATACAACAGTTTCAGATAGCTTTTCAGAATAAACTTGTTGAGGGAGGGGCAACTGCCCCTAGTTGCCCCCCTTAAATCTGCCACTGGTATTGAGAACTTTTGCTTTAATTGTTTCTTTTTTGTAGCTAAGCAGGTCTTTTCGTCTTTTTGATTAAACTTTGGACAATCCCATAAGTGTTCAATTCATTCCTCATGGGAGCCATATTTTTAATTGTTCTTTATTTGTTCTGTCATCTAACAGTCCTTTAGGTTGATATCAATCATTTTCAGGTAATTTTTATCAACAACCTGTAACAGGATGTCACTTCCAGTCTCGTTTCAGTTAATCTCACTTCCATTCGAATGGTCAATGAAACTTATTTAGCTTATGATTCACGAATTATATTTAGTCATGAAAAGGATATGATTCGAAACTTATATAAGGCAAACTAAAGCCCATACACCTTCAGATTGGCTGGTCTGCAAGAAAATTTTCAGAAGAAAATTCTCTAGACCGCCATATTTGCAACCAATCCTCCCTTTTTCATTAATTTTTATTTTACTACGAGAAATGTTAAAAATACCAATGGCAAGGAATTTGACCAAAACTCTTGTCACCACAATGTATGAATTACTATTAATGTACTTTGTTCAGTTGTGGCCGCTGCATTTGGCACTATAAACGAGCCCAGTGCTTATTGTCATTGACATTAATGAGCCAAGTAGGGCTGATTAGAGATCTAAATTGGTTTCATCAATTCCTCTAAAAATAGAAATAAAACAACCTGAAGGGATTTTCAGATATCGCTTACCACACATTAATTCTTGGTTTCCTGCTCCAGGTGCAGATTGAGCTTAGACAACTTTCCCTTTTCACCTTCCAGACAGTTTGTAGTAGCTTAATCAAACCTTAATGTTGGATAGAATATACATCCTCATCATTTTACATTTTGAGATTCAGGCAAAAGTCCGTAAACAACAAGATATTTTGCTGAACAAAGCTGAACAAGCACTGCCTGTTGATCCTAAAAAATATCAGCATGCATCCAATCAGCACAAACCGATTATAACTGCCCAATGTTTTTGTGATGTGAATTAAATTTTTGTAGCGAAAATTTCAAAGTTTTGAAATTTAAAAGAAAGCCAAGAAGGGCTACCGTATGCTGCAAGGTGCTTTGCTAAATTCCTCTTCTCCACCGCACTAAACCTCAAATTAGATTAAAACCATTTACAATAGCGTTCCATTTATTCAAAATATAAAAACCGTTGAAGCTTCAAATGTATAAACTTTCTCAAGGCTGCTTCTTTCCTTTCAAAAGCTGC